TTTTCAACTATGACTTGCTATAATCTCCAGAAAAACGGTCAGATCGAGTAAGTGTTTCAAAGGAAAAGGACGTGTATTATTTTACATTTAGTTGCTTTTTCTTTTGCTTGCATGGAAAGGTGAAAAACAGTCAAAGCTGATAAAGAAGAAAAAACGGCCACCATAATAACATAACGCTTGTATAATATGTAGATTGCAGTAAATGATTATTAGCTGGCCAAAGTAACATAACGTTTATTGTCGAAACACACGCGATGCTCAGCTCGGCCAAAGCTTTGGAGGAAATTATTTTAACACCGACCGTGTCGGAATATTCAGTCTAATGTGCCCCATAACAATTTAAAGTCATAAAATTGTTACCAATATTTCACTCTGTCTTAAGTACACGAGAGTACCGACTTGTGGACGGCTATAAAATAAATTATTTTTAATACGTCATCGCGAAAATCCATAATAATATTATTATTAAACCCACAAAAGGTACTTTAAATTCCATAATAAATAATATAATGATTTGCCGGAAACTGTTTAGTGTTTGGCTAAAAGGTATTTGAAAGGAAAATGATTATTTTTAATACAAACATATACCGTTTGATATTAAAACGAGTCAGTGGTACTAAAGGGTATCTACTTTTTATTAAAAATACTACGCATTAAAATATTTTATATTCAAATTAAACCACAAGCGTGAATAAGCAAACGAGCTTTTGAAATTTCTCAAAAAGATTTCCATTTTATATTTAGCTGACCATTAAAATACAAACGGTTTAAGTATACTTATGTAACTAACTAACGTTAGATCTATTTGTATTAGATTTTGCACAATACATAAAAAAACTGAATTTAACTTGTTTTGTAAGAATAAAGTTGTATATTTTATTAATAGTGCGATAAATTCCAAAATAGAAAACTTGAAAATGTTATATAAGCGATGAAAAAAAAACATACCAAGTTTAAAATTAACATGGTCCATAAATATAATACCTACAAATCAAACAATGTCAGAGTTAATTAGTATTTATATGAAAATTGTTTTGTTTGTAAGTAATATTTTTCATTTCATTTAATAATTACTTTGTTAGCGCAGTGTTTATTTATATGTATTAACGGTTCTATTTTTAGGTAAATAAATTCAACATAAAATGTATATATACATATATATATATATAGTATAACCTATTTAAATTAAAATGTTGGTAGATAATTCGACTTTCTGCTATAATAACAGTTGGATAATTGGTTCTGTACTGTAACGATGTATCCCTCGTTACTTTAGAAAAGTACACATTTAAAACGGTTCAACTTTCTTTTTAAACAAAATTATTATTTAATTAAAAACACACTGTTTGTTAATTTCATCGTGTCGGCTAAGGACATTCTGGGGCGTTCGTTTAATTTGTTCTGTATACCAGCAGTGTACACAAGGCTTCGAGAATGTTGTTAATTAGAAACGGCTTCGACAGAATAAAAATAAACATCAAATTCAATTTTAATATTATGTTTTAAATAACCCATAACGACGTTTGCAATAAGCTACACACTAAATTATTTGATTTATACATTGTTGTATGACTTATTGTTAATTAATCGACCAACGTACCTAACTGAAAGAAACCGGAATCTGTTGGCACCTGACCGTCCAGCCCTTGAGTCCTGACTGTTGTACAATGTAAGGTTAAATGTAAATTAGAATGTTAAGAAGCTCTAAATTTACAATTCGTATGGGTAGGAATAGGTCAGTCAATAGGACGTTTAGCTTGCAGATATTAAAAGGAAATTAAACAGAAAAATCACTTTTTCATAATCTTATAATAACATTTTTATAAATGTCTAATGATGTTATAATATACTTCTATACAAATGATGATCCGAGTAGGTATCGTATAATGTAGTTTGGTAAAATAATTATTATCAAGTGGTCGACCACGTTAGGGTACTGCAAACCCACCTAAGATACATACATGAGCAGAAGGGTTAATAGATACCCCATTCGATAAACGTTCAATAATATATAATATTACTATGGATGTGAGTGGTTATTATCACTTATGGGTTCGAAATATTGTTTATAGTCCACAAGCTTGGCATTGGTGCCATATTACACGGTTGTAGGGACCACGGGCTTCTGGCCAAAATGTATCAATGAATATAATATATTATTATGTCTTGGAAAGACAAAAAAAAAACGTTTCGCCAGAGGTATATTGTGACGACAAATTATTAGATAATCACGGACGTGTAATGTGTGCATACAATCGGTATTGTACAGCTATTTGGTTTTTGGGGATGAATTATTAGCAAAAACTATATAAGAGACTCGTTAGCAAATACACGCTGTACAGTCTGGCCGACGACTATTTATTAATGGACTAGAATGAATAATATACCTATAAATGTGTACACAAATGTGAACCCCGGAAAACCGTTTAATCGTGGCGCGGTTTAACATTGCATATAAAGCTCTGTCAGATAAAAAAACAATTATTTAAAAACATCATGTGTGCGGTATTTTGTGCCATTAAAAGTAAATATATTGCAATAAGCGAACCCTTTTTTTATTTCATTGACAAATCAAATAGTATTAATTCCCAACTGTCAAAAAAAACATTGTCCTATAAAAGCTCACCAATTACCGCATTTGGTATTTTATAATAATTAGAAATGCACAACAATAACCATAGCATTAGCACTATGAATACATAAATTTGTTTTGCTAACACTGTTATTATAACGGTACAGTGGCCATAATATGGTCTAGTGAGCAATTTCAATAGTGCAGTATTATTGCACGCTGGCCGGCTTTTTCTAGCGTGAAATAAATAAGTACATGATACCGAAAAGGTCTTTTTTTTACAAATAATCATTAACCCTAATCGTAATAATTCATTTTTACTATTCTTAGACAAAAATATTAACTTGTCAAGCACTTAAATACATATTAATTAGAATTTATTAGTAACATTACTGCGACAGTGTATTAAACGTATTACTTTAACAATAATTATTTAAATAAAAGCCATAAAAAAACAATCACATAAAACGGTGTCTGTAATTTTGAAAAATTATAAACAATTTAAATAGTGTATCTAATTCAATTCGATTATCTCATTTAGTTTTTCCATTAAGATAAAACAAGACGGAAGCTGATCGTCCCATGGACTTCTTGTATCTATGTAATACTATCATTCAAAAGTATAATTTATAAATTTATGTTATTTAAAAAAAATGTATTAATAATGTTGTTATTATATTTTGTTTTCCGAGTTAAAACATTCGGTCAATTATTAATTCAACCTTGGCCGCAATGTGGATCTTTTTTTTATCATTCGCTTATTCGTATATGTAATATAAGTAAACAAATCTATAAAATAATGGTAAATAAGTTTAGTATCGTTATATTAATAGTAATAAAAGCAATTTATTTCACTGCGGTTTAAAAATGAATGCAGTTATTATGACTGCAAGTGAAAAAGTGACAATGACTTCCTTGGAAGTTGTACACATCAATTTTCGCAAATACATTAATGTTTTGTATAGCAATGCTTTTCGTACTTGCCTATTGTTGATAACATGCTGATGTGTTGCAGGGGATTAAAAGTAATACAGATTTGACAAGAGTTCAATTCAAAAAGTTCTTTTATTTTTTACATCAAATCAAAAACTTTTTTTCGTAATTAAAACAACCAAAACGTTATAAATATTAATTTACATTATTTTTTTTTTTATATTTGTTTGTAACGATTTTTTTAATTACTTGGAAATAAATCTCTTTGTTATTTCATTTCTTTGTTTAACCCAATGGTTGACTGTCAGTTTATATATTTTGTAAAAAAAAAAAAAAAAACAGCACATTTGTATAAATTTGAATTTATTTTAGGTCACATGTTTAGTGGTTTTTTTTTATATAAATGTGATATTTAAATCCAACCGCGTTTTTTCCATTAATAATAACATTTTGTTCGTGTCTGCTTTGTTTACATAGACATAATTCGATTATAATACAATATTGATTTTCTATTCCCCATAAATACTTAAAGTAGTCCGGAAATTTGATAGATAGCGTGTACAAACTGAAATATTTTGCATAAACGAACCGCGGCTGCGTTGTATTTATAAAGAATTACATTAAAAAAAAGATTAATTTTTCATACATACACATAAATAGCACAATTCTTGCAATAAATAACCGTATACCGTGTAACTGAAATTGTATTATTTAAACGGAAAATATTTAATTAAAAAACAATATATTGGAGTTCCGTCAATGGATGTGTGTGGTTATCTCCACACACCTCATACATTGTTAATTTTTATTTATATTCTCATTTCAATCATAACACATGCTTATTGTACCAATTTACCTACACAGATTGTATAATTTTTAGTAATAACAAAATATAGCTATACTTATTGTTTTGTGTTCATTTTGTAAGTGTTCTGTGTTATACTCATCTAAACAATAGACGTGTAAATACATGTACCAAAATACAGTTTAAACATATTTGATAGTAATATATTCAAAAATTAATATTGACCCGAGTAGTCGAAGTTTTTAAATAGCTTTAGGAAATCATAACGACAGCCTAAAATCCATGTCCAACAATTAACACATTATAATATCATGTAGGTACGTTGTGAATTACAGTGTTTTTTTTTTGTGTGTTTTATATTGGATTATTCGATCGGCTGTTTTTTATTATACAAGGGACTAAAACCTACTTGACAACATAGGGAGACCGTCTTCAAAAAAACCGTTTCTGTGGCAAGCGGTTGTGATAATAATTAATAATCGAACGACGCTGTGGAAATTATGCGTTTCGCTTGTCTACCGGCTTTTTGCGGATAGGTTAGGTCACAGCGGTTCTCAAACTGCGTGTGAACCGCTATCCGTGACCACCACGTTGGTCGGTCTTTGGGGAACCGTCAATAAACGTAGGTATATTTTGTAAAATAAATACATCTAACTGTATATTTTGTACATAATTATTGTTTGTACTCACTTGCAGTGGAAGCGGTGCTATAACAGGAGACAGCCCATGGCCCGGCGGGCGTCCGTCGTTGTTTGTCGGCCGCGGAGATGTGAGCAACAGAACGGCGAGCAACCGGAGTGTATCGACCGGGGACCGTCCCGGAGACTGGGCCCCGTGGACCAACGCAAGCGCCGTGTACTCGCAGACCCTCTGGACCCCTCTATCACACCTCCCCTCAGGCGCCGCGCCGGTCGCGCTCCAACCGCGCGCGTCCCGAAAAAGGACCTAATCATGGGCGACCGGTGGAGTCAGTTCCTTTTGCTGCTGCCGCCCGGCCTATGTGAATTTCTCTGTGCGGTAGATATGTATACTAAGCACATCCGTCGTATACATTATAGAAATCCTATTTCTGTGAAAAAGAAAACCTAGGGAATTGTACTTTTTTTTAAATGTTTTTTGAAATGCGTGGGCGCGCAACAACAACTCTAACCAGAGATACCGATTTGTAAGCGATCCGTAATAGGGCTCTGTTTAAATTGCAAGTTTAAACTATAACAGGCAGCTATCGTCTTCGCCTAATGATGGGTTTTTATATATATTTTGTTTGTGTTTCTAAATGTCTACTCTTCAAAATCGAGAAAAAACCTTAGACGTTTTTCATCTTAAATCTACGGCCCTGTATAACTATTTTTTAAAAATAGCCAAATTATTTCCAAATCTTTAGTTAAATATCGACAAAACGTTGATAAACTAAATAAATCACGAAAACCCCTTTCCATAGACATGGTTAACACTTTTTCTTTATACAATTATCATAGTTGGTATTCATTGATATGCTATGCTGTGTCAAATGGCAACCCTTGTAATGGGCCGCTTTTGATCTGACTAATCGGACTTGCATAAAATGTACGTAAATATGTCTGTAAAATATTATTTCTAATGCAAGTTTTTTATTCAGTAAATATACATTTACCGTTATATTAATGTTTTAGCTCTGATGCATAGCCGAGAAGGTATTGTTTTTACAATTGTGTGTTTTTATTTTTTGTCTTGACCCACGATATCTTATTAACAGCTGAACCGTTTTCTTCATGTGGACTCTATAGATCAGAAATCGTACCTATGTAAGGTACTTTAAAGGGCTAAAAACTTAAAAGACGGTCCCTTCTCCTTCAAAACCGAAAAAATCAATCAAACTTTTTTTTAAATAGTCGAATAAGTTACAAACTTGAAAAATATCATAAACCCCTTCTCGTAGAAAGGGGTATATTTTATTATAAGGGATCGAAACTTTTTCTTTTTTTATATGATTATTACAGGTAGGTACCATACACCAGAAGATTGTTAACTCGACCAAAAAAAGTTTGGTATTAAATTACAAACTCTACCTTTTGTGCTCCTTTTGTAACATTTTTACCTTTTTATTTTTTTTAGTTTTCTCGAGCAAGCTGCCGGCTACAAGAATTGAGAAACTTTCAAGATGAACTCAATAAGTAATTTAATTGAAATTTCGGTTTACGGTATTTTTTTCTATAACACAAAATAAATTAATTTAAGAATTAGCTCTTAATATCCTATTTAACAGATTGTGCATATACATACCACTGACCACAATTAATAACTGACAAAAAAAGATATATTTGTAATAATTAATTAAGTAAGGAAATAAATTGATAAGTGCATTGTATGTAATGTTATCTTTTCTAAAGTGTTTTAGAAAAGATTCACACCGAATGCTTACATACGTTCTATTTTATTCTAAACACGCATCGACAACTGGGTTAACTTTATATTTTATTAGTGCTCAGATGTTGCCTGAATTTATTTTTATTATACTAGTTTGTTACTAAATCAATCTTCATTTTGATTATTGAACATTATCCATTCACTCGGTTCTATTTATAAACATGTGCACTGTTCATTGCAATTAACATTATACAAAAAACTACATCTCAATCTGAGAGCAAGTAGAAACACTTAAGAATAATTGTCTGTTCGTGTTATTTAATTGAATTATCGTTTATTACTTAACAATAACAAATTGGTAATGATTTTTAAATAACTTTTATCTGTGTATTTTTAATTAGTTGCCGAAATAAACCAAATTATCGAAATTTCGAACAAATTTAGGCATCGTCGTTTTTCGTTGAAAATTAATTCGCATTAGTCACTTTGAATAATTTTACTTTTGTACACAAATTATGTATTTCTATGATATAATAAATAGATGTCGTTTATTATGTTCCCGGATTTATTATGCGATCTGTCGCTTAATTATAATCGTAAACGACAGAGATAAATAAGATTCACTATATAGGATAAGTTTTCCCAACAGTCAACTTTTCGTTTAATTCAAGACTAACCATTTTGATCAAAATGCGAATGACGTCATCTTCTTCTTATTCGTTATTGTCGCTTTTATCTCCTTTAAACGAGGTCGACTTTGCTGTCCGTCACAATTATTTATCTAACCATTCCAAACACCTCTGATGTCTCCGTTAATAACGTCCGGGTTAGTCTGCTGCTATTAACCTTCAACCCTGGTTGATATTCTAACAACTCTTATCTACTTAAATTTAAATTAATTTTCGTCACTTTCTATTATTTTGTGTTTAACGTTTGTGTCCGTGCGTCATCGCTTGGCCCACTACAGTGCTTTTTAGTTCCACATTCACTTAAAAAAGCAACTTTTTGAGCATACTTGTGCCTTTTGTTCCACCACATCCGACCGCATACATTAGGGTCAAGTGAGGTAAACAAATGGCTTATGGCTAAATGTAACTTTATATATATATATATATATATAAATAACTAAAATTTTAGCGTTTTTTTTTTAATTCGAGACAATTTGAAACAAAATTTATTACGGAAAGTTTAAGCCTAACAAAAGGAAAATTATACAAGAGAAACCGAATAGTGTGGGACTTACAACGTGAGAGGCAGCGTTTAATGAGGTTTTACGATTTTTACAAGCAGCCGATTGTGGAAACAATATAAACGTTTATATTTTTGAAACATAAATTATAGTAGTTAGTTGTTTTTGTGATGTCACTTGGAAAGTGACTATCGACCATTTTATATACTATTCAAATTTATTTTTGAAACAGATTACAATGTTTAACGGTAACAGAACCACTTTAACCACTTAAAAAATAAAATTGATAAATTGATGTTTTAATTATAACTTTACTCACTTTTTTTACACTCTTTAGTCTTTTTGTATAATACAACTTAACTTAAGTCTACTTAAGCCACAAGTCGTTAAATAGTACTTAGTTATTATTATTATTCATTCGTAACAACGGAGCACTCGTTTATTGGACTTTTGAAGTATAATTTATTACTTACAAAGAAAGGTAAATAAATAAAATATTATATCAGCTTTTTTAAAGAATGCTTTCGTTAAAGCCTTTCGCTTTAAATAATAATACACTACTTACTACTGACTTGGTGATTAAAGATTCGTTTAATTTATGTTTTCAAAGAAACTTTTTTGAGAACTATGTTGGTTTTTTTAATGATTATTTATTTGTCTTAAGTAGGCACATTGTATAATGTATATACAAAAAAGGCTAATAATCAATAAAGGTATGTTGTTCACCGTAGGTAATGAATTGTATGGAATTAAATAGTAAATTGCAAATAAGTATTTACAATGTGAGTTTTTACAATAACTATACACAAAATATTCGTTTTAAAGCTGAATAAAAAAAAAATATAAGCATAAAATAAAAATAGTTAATTGAATAAAAAGTGTTAATAAAAAGACATGTACCTGAAAAGTACTATAGAAATAATTTAGAAACAGATTGCCACAGAAAAATGCGTCATGTGTATTTTTACTGTTTACTTTTTATGGTTTTAAAGAGATATACACGTGGCCCAAGCGGTTGCGATAATATCATAATGTAATTAAACAAAACAGGCATTAGCATATGGTAGGAAATGAGAGAGAAATAAGGTTGCCATATAATAAAAAAAAAAATATAGTGGTAATTAAAAGATGGTTGCATATTGTATTTTTCAACAATCTAATTACTTGAGTGTTTTGGAACGATGAAAATGGTTTAATATTTATAAAATAAAATAAATGGCGCAGTGGACATATTATTGAGAAGACACAAGAGTAAACATATTTATTTATTGTCACGCTATTTTATATTATATGGTTTGTAGTGGATTTTTTTTTAAAGGCATGAATTTGTCAACTATTACCAATAATCATAATTTTTTTTATTACGTCAAAATATCCCCCCCCAAAAAAAAACAATAATCAATGTGAGAACAAAAGCTACATTAGAATATTAATCCAACGGTGCGGTATCTCTACCCCAGTGGTTTTCGAATAGACAATTTAAATAGGGTGGATCTGATTGAACATTTCATTAGTGTTTGTCGCCTTTATCGTTTGCGAATAATCACTATTCCAATATTTAGTCGGTGACTTGCCGAAAATTATTTGCACCACAGCAGTTCCGAATCGAGTAACCGTAAAACGTTCAAGCTGCGTCTGACAAGCGGTGTGTGTGTCTAAAAAATCGATGGCCCCAAATATTAATGTCGCTCTTCCTTTTCTCTATTTCGTTACCTCGTTCATCTTGATTTTTTTTCCACGTCCCGTTCCGTCTTTCTTTCACGCGGTATCTTTTTAATAATTCCATCACGGTTTGCGCGTCGTTGGCCTTTTTATAACTCTATTTTATCATTTTTTTTTTCGCCCCCGGGTAGAATATCGCATTTTATATAAGTAGGTATATTACACTCCTCGAAGAAGAAGAAGTGTCTTGCGGATATACCGTCTCTTGCGGTGTATATTATTCAAGACATTTTACACGTTCCAAAAAAAAAATTATTATTGATCAATATTTTTACCCTCTACTGTTAGTGTTGGTCTCGCGGACGGTAAATACACTCCCACCCCGTCGAGTTCTCTCTTAGCACTCATCCATAGTGCAGCGTAGGTACATTTGCTTATTATATATGGTAAACGTACTCGTTGTTTTTTTTTCCACAAAACAATACTGTCACCGTGTCGTTCAAAAGCCCCGACATACCCTTCTAGAGAACAACCCAAGCTGAAGGGTCAAACATAAATAATAAAAAATAAATAAATATCGAGTGCACTGCATGAAACAAAAAATATATACTCTTTC